TAATTTTACTTTTGATACTTTGATGAAATTTTAATGTCAATACTTTTTTGTGTGTATTTCTACACTGTGGCTGTTTCTACTTATACTTCAGGAATTAATCAGACTGCTTCTTCCACACTGATGTGTCGTTAATGGACATGGATGAGGTTTTTATTTTTGTGATAAACAATGACAGATCCACACTCATATCCACACACACATGCATATACGACCTGAACCTGCAGCTGTTTGAGGCTGTCTGGAGACTTCGGAGGAGGCCGAAGGTACGAAACTTGCTGAAGGGAAGTTTGTTGTTGTTGTGGAGGCCGACAGGAGAAATGTTGATGTTGATAAAGGCTGATGAGGTGTTGAGGTGTCTGAAGCTGTGAACAAGGAAAAATTGGAATAATAACAATCCTGCTTGAAGCAGGTTTTCTGTCTGCATGTGAGTAATAGAGGTTAATATGTTCTTACAGCACAACTCATTGAACTAAACGTGTAGTGTAAATATGACACATGTAGGTTATTAAAAGAAAAGTAACTGTGGTCAGTGAGAAGTTCACATATTCAGGGACATGAATAAGATTTTTTTACTCACCTCCTGTGATGACAAGCTGAAAATCACATGGTTGTAAAGTTCTGTCCAGTGTGCACCTGTACCATCCTGAATCAGACTTGTTCAGCTGTGTGATGCTCACGTGCACAATATCCTTTGACAGTACATTCTTTCTTACAAATGTAATGCTGTATCTGCCGCTCTGAGCTGTGTAATCAGTTGTTTCAATGAGAACGTTTCCTTTTTCACATTTGTCTTTGCAGAACAATGTCGTACTTCCTAGTAAATAAAATTTACATTCGACTGTGATGTTTCCTCCTTCCACTCCTTCATAGATGAGAGTTTCAGCGTTGGCAAGTCCAGTGTTTCCATCCTGTTCATCTGTAGAAAATATGAACAATCAGTTACTTCCTGTAAACACTGCATTTGATTTTAAATATTTTATTAAATTAAACTGAAACAAATTATTGTTATTATTATTATTATCTAATTGAACACAACAATTAAAGGTAGTTCATTTAAATTCACTCTCTTTGTAGTCTTCATTTAAACAAAATCATCCTGGTCCTTCCTGCCAACACAAGCCATCTACTGAAGAACCGCTCAGTTAAAA